TCTAGAAGCCTAATATTGATGTTCTTCAAGATTTTTTCACTTTTTAAGAGCTTGAAACTTGAGATTTTCGAGGACTTTTGAGTCTTCAAAATCTTCTTCTAAATTGTGTAGGTCAAATGGCTTGCAGAAGCATAATATTTATAGTGCTAGACGAGAGACTTCCATGAGGATTTAACCTATTTGATTTTATCTCTAAATTATTTTTAATTTAATTAGAGATGAAGTACAATAACTCATACATAGTTTTTTGAATGGCCCAAATATGAGTTTTTCAATTTTAATTGACTAAATTCGAATTTTATCTTTAAATTATCTTTAATGTATTTAGATAATGATGCACAACAATTTTAAGGTCCAACCCTGATATCTTTTTGTAAGTCCATGCAAAGACATCTCGATAGGTATCAAGAAATCAAGACAATATTTCTCTTCTTCTAGAGTTAAATTAGCATTTATGAGAATTGGGCCCAAGAACTTTTGTAGTGTCGATGTTAACCCTTTTAGCTCATTAATCATAGGTCGATTTCCTTCTTCAAATGGGAGAACTTCTTAAACATCTTCTTCTTCAGATTTTTCATCACTTTCTTTTATTGACACATGATTAGATGTGAAAATCTCCATTTCCTTAGATTTTTCCTACTTCAAAGATGAAACTTGTTTAGTCACACCATTGTTTGCTTCTTTGCTTTTAATGCTCTAAAAATCATTACGACCCATTTGCTTTGTCTTTTCCTTCGCAAAGAGACAATGCTTTCATCGACCATGAAGCTCCCTTTTTTTTCTTTCATTGTAAAGGTTTTCTTCTAAGCCTTGGGTGCATAAACTTACTTAAAAAAGCTTTGAAGTACTCTTACTAAATTTGACCAAAAACTAAACCTTTATTAGAAGGCATACTCAAATGATCAAAAAATGACTTCATGAATATAATTGGAGAGTTCTTCCTATGACAAAATATGAGGGATGAGTTAGTGTGGAAAAAAACAGCTAGTGGTGAGTTTATGGTTAAATCTTTCTATCAACAGTCTAGAAAATTGAGTGAAACTTCACATAGGGAATGGAAATGGGTATGGGGAGGAATTGCTCCTCACAAAACTAAAACTTAGGTCTGGCAATTAATGCATGGTAAAGCAGTAGTGAAGGGCAAAGTAGCTAAAAGAGGGATGATTGATGCTGCTGATGCAATGTGCCTTTTGAGTAAAAATGTGATTGAAATGATTAATCATTTGTTTATGGGATGTACTTGCATTAGGGATCTGTGATACGATTGGTGCAATGAACGGGGTTTTTCTTGGGTAATGCTAACTAAATTTAAAGATTTGATGATCATATGGAATGTAACAAAGTTATTGGTTGGGAATGACAAGATTTGGAAATTGGCCATTTTTGCAATTTCTTAGACAATCTGGATTGGAAGGAATGAGTTTGTGTTTCAAAATAAAACTTTGGGTTAGGGAGTTGATATGGGAACTTATTAAGTTAAGAGTTGCTATGTGGGCTCAAGACTCTATTTATGTTCTTGATGTTTGCAGACAACTAGCAAAGGGATCCAAACAAATTAGAGAAAGGAAATAAAGATCGTTGATGGAGTGGAAGAAGTCGAAGGCTAGTTATGCAAAGCTTAATGTGGACGAGACTGCTAATGGATGTCTTGGGGAGGCTGGAATAAGTGGTCTGCTTAGAAACGATAAAAGTGAAGTTCTGATTAGATTTTCCAAAGTTATTGGCATGGGGGATTCTAACCTTGCAGAGTACATGGCCATTAAGGAGGCTTTTGTCCTTTTCTCGAATTCTTGTTGGGCTAAAAACTCCTTCCTTATGATTGAAAGCAACTGAAAGAATGCAATTGAGTTGATTATTGATCCTATGAAAGTTCCTTGGAAGTTAAGGAAATGGATGTTACAAATTGAAGTCCTTATGCAAAGAGTGCATGTTTGGAAGGCTGTGCATATTCATTCTCAGAGAAGGTAATCGAAAGGCTGATCAATTGGCTAAGGATGAGGTGGGTAGAGAAGTGGATCTACTTGTGGTGTTTTGTCCAATGTGAGACACAGTGAATGACCTTTTCTTATTGCTATGATTAGGTGGCGTTTTTTGGAAATGATGCTAGCGAGCCACAACGTTTTATTCTTGAAGTTGTTGTCTTCTGGGTTTTTGGTCATTATTGTTGACATCTTTATGGTTGTTTATTGATGTTGAAGATCCGGTAAATGATCTCTAGACTGATGTGCAAAGATTTCTAGGTGGTTTTTTTGCTTTTGATTTAGGACGGCCTTGTTTTTTTTTTTTTCTTTTACTTTTGCAACGGCTTTCCTTTAAGGTTTGAAATGGTGATCTTGAGGCTATAAATGGTTTGTATAGATCAACTGATGTTTTTGATTGTATAATTGCTTTGAGATGATGAATGTTGATGAAAATTGTGCGTATCTTGTTCTTCTAAGCAACCATATTTTTCCAAATTTCTAGTGAACCTCCTCTTTTTCTTTTGTTTTTCTCTTATCAAGGGCCTCGCCTTTGGTCCCTTGATGTTTCTACCACACGTTGGTAGCTTTTGTAAGTATATATTTGATGGAATGGAATTCCTTTCTTTTGGCCTTTTAAAAAATGATGTTGCATAGTTGAACAACCCAAATAGGAAAACATTTTGATTGCCAAATCCGAAAAGCTTCAAGCTTTGCCATCAACTATAGGTTGTAACCCTATAACTAAATGGGTATTACCATTGCAAGATGTGTTCATCGTGTAGAAGTATTGAGTTTTATCATAAATGGCAACAAGAAGGAAAAGGAAAAGAAATTTAAAAAAACAAAGAGGAAAACTTTAAAATATAAAAAAATTTATAACAAAAAAGGTTGTTCTAAAAGTGAAAGACACATCATGCAAACGTGTGTGAAAAAAAATTTAGATGTTAATTTCCAACATTTGTTTATATAAGAAAAAATTAGCATAATCTGATGATTGCCGTTGAAGGTTGCCACATGCTAAAACAATATACCCACGACAAGTCCATGTGGAAAAGAATTTCCCATGTGGCAATAAGTTAGATTTTCATTATTATTTTTTAATTTCATTTTCTTTATTTTCTCCCAATATTTTTATTTTCTCTTTCTCTACCACCGCTTCATCTTCTTCAGTTGAAATAATTCCTGCCCAAGCGCCAAAGGTAAGCATCCCCGAATCAAGTTCATAATACTTCCCCACGTGGACATGTTACGTGTTAATTTTTTACTCTATGGCAATTGTTACTCACATTAAACACAATATTAAATTTTTTCTTAATATAAACAAAATTAACATATGAAATTAGATAAAATAAATAAATTTGGACACCCAAATGAGATTTAAATTTGAACAAATTAGCCGATGCTTCCATATTTGGAGGCAAAGATGCCTCCATCATTTATGGAAAGAGAGAAGAACAAAAAAACAATATCCATCTTTATTGTCACAGACAATACAAATGTTCATGAGTTCGGTTAGATCTAGTTAACACTTTTAAAAGTTAAATTTAATCTTAAATTATTAAAATATTTTATTAAAATTTTAATATAAATAATTATTAATGAAATAATTTCTCAAAAAAAATCTTATTTAAAACTCCGCCCAAGTCATGCTAGGTCGGCAAGCTTGGCGAGCTACACAACTTGTGAATAAGACTCATTAAAAAAAAAATCAAGATTTATATGTACATATTAGATTGACATTTTTATGTTCGATTAATTAATAAAAATAATAATAAATTAAAAAATAAAATATTTTTAATTTTTAAAATTTTAATTAAAATTATATAAAAATTTATTAATTTTAAAAATAAACACTCTATTTTAATAAATATTTTTTATTAGACACGTAACTCTAGTTAGTCTATCCATCAATTTGAATATATTATAATTTATTTAACTTTTTTAAAAATTAATATTATTTTGAGTTTACATTGTTTAAAAGAATTTTGTTTGAGTTGGAGTCGAAGTAGGAGGGTGACTTTGACCCACTCCAGATGGGGTCATGCTCCTCCTTAATCTGACGTCAGAATTTAAATTAAAATAAATATGCTGAATTATTCTTTTCTCTTTTTTATGAGGGGAAAAGTAATATGCTGAATTATTCTTATACTAGTATTAGTATTGTTCTTTAATTTTTCAGTTTGGCTTTTTGGACTTTGGATTCAGCCTATACTTGGTGGGATTCTGCCTATTTTTTGTGTATGTTCTTATATTCATATACCAAATATTTAGTTAAGGGCTTAACGCTTATGGCATTTTCAAGATTTAATCTATTTTTAAATATAAAATATATTTAATTTAAGATAAAATATTTTAATTTTTTAAAATTTTAATTGAAATTTTAAACAAATTTAATAATTTTTGAAATAGATACTTTATTTCAAGAGTGTGTTATCCCATATTATAAAAAAATTAAAATATTATTTTTTATTAATTTTAAAAAATTATTATTATATTTTAAAAAATTAAAAAAAAATAAAAAACATCTAACTCTTCAAGAAAGTTTTTTTTTAATTAATAAAATTATATAATAATAAATTTAAAAATTAATCAAAGATAAAATTATCAATTTTCAAATAAAGATAAAATGTAATGCAATCAATTAAAGATTATTATTGATAAGATTTAAATTCAAAAAGAAATCGACTTATTATTATTAATTAGGTAAATCTGTTGGTAATAAAAAATTATATTTATTAATTTGAAAAGAGAATATGTAAGAGATAAGGGAGAGCACGTTTTGCAACAAGCAGTAGTAACAGCAACAAACAGCAAACCCTGAAAGAGTAGAGGTTCAGACACAACCCCAACGTGTTAGGTCAGCCGGCAGACTGAGAAGGTACCGCATAACCGCTCATGTCTTTTTCCTTTTTCTTTTCCCTCTATTTTTCAATTAAAAAAGAGAGAGAGAGAGAGAGACTACTCTACTTATATAATTATACTATAATATTAAAACATTTAAAATAAAAAAAAATACTACACAAAAGGAAGAAGACAAAAACAGATATAAAATCTCTCCTGTTTCTTTACGTTTTTCCTTCTTCTCCTCAAGTCTCTCCCTCTACTTTCCTTCCTTCTTCTTTCCTCGTTCACAAACACACCTGAAAACTATTTCTTTTCTATTTTGGTTTTCTCTTTTTTAAAAAAAATTCCAAAAGCGGATTTTTTATTTCATCTGATTTATTTCGGCCATTTCTGATTTTTTTTAATCGAGTTTTTGGATTTTATGACGGTTGGAAGATTGATTTTGGCTGTTGATTCTTTCTCCTCTTCTTCTGAGGTCAATGTAGCTGGGTTTTTCTCCAAAATTAGGGTTTCCTTTTCAAAGTTTGGGGATTTTGCTACCAAACTATGTAGTTAAGGAAGCTGGAGCCTCGTAATACTAATAATAACAACGAAAAGATCCTCTTTTTATCTTTCCTGGGTTTAGATTGAAATCTCCATTTTTTTTCTTTGATTTTAGCTTTATTCTTCCAAGGATTTGCTTTCCTCTTCTTATTCTTCTTCTTCTTCTTCTTCTAATTTTGGTCAAGAGCTTAGATTTTTTTTATTTGACGCTTTTACCCCTGCTGATTATTGAAGAAAGTTATGATTTTTGTTGCATAGTTGATCTGTTTGAGGCTTGGAGCTGTCAATTGAGTAAATCACTGAAGTTTGAGGCGGGATATTGGAGTATGGAGCAATAAAATGCTGAATTTGACACAAATCTGAGTGAAAATAGATTAGATTAAGCTCTCTGGGGCATTAGGTATTATTGAAGAGTTTTTTTGGGGGGCGGTTGAGAATGGATCATGTGATTGGTGGTAAGTTCAAGCTTGGAAGAAAGATTGGCAGTGGCTCTTTTGGAGAACTCTATTTAGGTATGATAATCCAAATCTCTTTGATGGCTTTCTCTATCTTTTTAGGGAAAATATGTCTTTTTATTTGTTTGTCAGCATTCATTGTGCCTTTTATCTTTCTGATATTTTTGTCTTTGTTGTTGAAGGGGTAAATGTGCAAACTGGAGAGGAAGTTGCTGTCAAACTGGTGTGTGATCTTTTCTTGAGTTTTTGCTTCTTTTTCCTTTTAGTCCCTTTTGTTGGTATGCTGATGGACTGGTTTCTATTGGTGGTTCTCATTTGGTAATGAGGATGTTTGGGTCCTCGAATAATGAATACGTATAAAGCAATTGTTAGTTTTCATATGCTTGCTTTCGTGGTTGTTTTTACCACCTTTATTTGTAGTCTCTTGTCTTTCTCTGAAGAGAACAAAACAATTCTATTACTGGAGGCAGTTATTCTTTCTTCATCTTTTTCTGTTGTTTAGTACTAACCCTTGGACTTTAAATTGCGTTACATTTTGGGAATTGACTTTCATTTATTCATTGGTTTTTCTTAAAACGAAAATTGATTTTTAAATGTGCTTCTTAATTTGTGAAAAAAAAAAAGTCAGTCGTCCTAGACAATGTTTCCATAACCAGCTATGTTCAGCTTTGCATGGTTTGTCACTTAAGTATAAATGGATCGAACATTTCTTATTGCATTCATTTCCATTCTGATAAGAAGAAAGGTGCTTTTATAGAGCTGAGAAATTTGAACCATGCTTCTTTGAGAAAAGGTGTTGCAAGTTAATGCTTAAGTGTAATTTAGGAACATAATTTTATCAAGTTTTGTTTCTAACTAGCACTTCTCTGTTTTTTTCTTTGAAATGAAGATGTGATGGTGCTCATTTCATGTAAGAATGTGTCATTGTAAAATTGGTGTGAAAAAATTGCTAATCATGGCATTGAATAAGTGATTGGCAGAAACCATTTTTTATTTATTGGACATTTTATATTTTCTAATTTCAAAAGCAATGACCTTGACCTAATTTTTTTTTCTACTCCAAATCTCAGGAATCTGTGAAGACCAAGCATCCACAGCTTCATTATGAATCAAAATTGTATATGCTTCTTCAAGGAGGAAGTAAGTCTTTGTCTCTCCTCTCTCCTCCCATCAGTGTTTCTGTAAAAATTGTTTTTACTACATCATAATTTGACTAAGTGTAGCCTTTTCCACTGCACTATCACCGTACGAGAAAAAAAAAAAAAGAAAAAAACATGCAAGTTCTGGCCTGACGGAAGCCAGTAATTTTCTTTGATTTATAATTTTATAAATCAGTCTTCATTAAGTTTGCTATTGGACTTGGTAGCTGCTGGGTTAGAAAGAGAATATCAGGTCTTCCTTTCCTTTCCATAAATCAACTAAGACTTTAAACAATTTGTTCAATACACAAGTGCAAACCTTTCTTTGAACATGTTGGCTGGAAGGCTGATGTTTTATCTTGAATATTCTATTTTTCTCTTGTTTTGTATAAATTTAAAAAGCATATTATTTTTATCTTTAATAACTTGATGTGGGTTCTCTTTATTATAGCGGGTATTCCCCACCTCAAGTGGTTTGGAGTTGAGGCAGATTACAATGTCATGGTAATCGACCTTCTTGGACCTAGTCTGGAAGATTTATTCAACTACTGCAACAGGAAACTCTCATTAAAAACAGTGTTGATGCTTGCTGATCAATTGGTAAGTGTATCTGACTTTTTTGTGGCAAATAATAAGCTTTCTGGTTTTTTTTTTATTTTTAATTTTCCCCCTTTCCAACCTTTTTTTTTTCAGATTAATAGAGTAGAATATATGCATTCAAGAGGTTTTCTTCACCGTGATATAAAGCCTGACAACTTCTTGATGGGCCTAGGTCACAAGGCTAATCAGGTACTAGTTATCATGTTGCTCTTGTATTTTATGTTGGTGAATATAATATGTGCAATCTCATTAGACGTTCAATTTTGACTTTTTGGTTAAAATAATATTTCATTTCTGTGAATGACTCTGTTACAACTTTAAAAGTATGAAATATTGCAGCATCATTCTTTCTTTTTAATTTGTTATAACAGGTATATATCATTGACTATGGTCTTGCAAAGAAGTATAGGGATCTTCAGACTCATAAGCACATCCCATACAGGTGATTTTTGTTTTGTTGACTACTTAATACATAAATTCAAACTTGAAGTTTTGGATATTGTATAGTTCTCATCATAATACATGACTGTTGGGTTTAGAAACTAGATAAGAAAGTTTCTTTATAGTCCATATACTTCTTTTCAGCTGGGTGTTTGCCTTAGTCATGGAGGCAAGGCATGTTGCCTTAGCATTTTGCACAGTGAAGAAAATTATAGTGTTCATTAGCCTTTTGAACTCTTATAAATAAGAAAAACTGCAAAATGTGATACAATGCTCATATGTCATGCTATCTTTCCTTCTGAAACCATTTTGTTAGTCATTCCACATGCACTGCTGCCTCAGTAGAGTGAGATATGTCTGACTTGATGGAATAGAATTTGATGCAGATAAAGGTCTCTTTTATTTTGGGTGAATTCCAAATGTGGGTGATTTCTTCTTTCTAGATCTTTAAACTTGCTGGCTTTTTATAGATGTTGCAGCATTGCCAGTCTAATTTACTCCTTTTCAATATGCTAATACTTAATTGTTGTTGATGCTCATCCTACTTTGCTTTATGATTTAAAACATCCAGTCTGATTCTCTCTTGTGTTTTAGTTTCTTTCTTTACTTATTATCTACTCTCTCTGTATCCTATTTTTGTACGTCTACCTATGTGGTAAAGATGCACTTGGTATTTGGTGTCAGCCTACTCCTGGATGCATTTGTTTGCTAAAACTCATCAAATTCTTTGCTGCAGAGAAAACAAGAACCTCACAGGGACAGCTCGTTATGCAAGTGTGAACACTCACCTAGGAGTTGGTGAGTTAATTGACTCTGGCACATTTCCAACTAGTAACAGTATATCATATTTCCTAGATGTTTTTTCTCTTAACATACATTCTTCTATTCCACTCGCAGAGCAAAGCCGAAGAGATGATTTGGAATCTCTTGGTTATGTGCTTATGTATTTCCTGAGAGGAAGGTTTGGCTGCATGCTTATTTCATTCAATGTTTTGTGCATTTTGAGATAATGTTTGATTTTTACTTGTTAGAATGTTCATTTTTAGTTTTTTTTCTCCCCATTGAATTTGATTCAATTTGCACAATTTTTTTGCTCTAGCCTTCCCTGGCAGGGATTAAAAGCTGGCACAAAAAAGCAAAAATATGATAAGATTAGTGAAAAGAAGGTATCAACTCCCATAGAGGTATGATCACTTCTGCCATTATTAGTTCACAAATTGGTTTCCAATAAGAAATGTGGTTGAATTGTTAATTTGACTGGCATAGGGATTGCCAGTGCTTGCACGTGGGCCTGCTCTTTATCTGTGTACAGGCATGGCTTAGGGGTCAATATGATGGGCCAGGCCTGCTCTTTGTATTCCCTCCCATATTATGGCATGTTTCATCAAATGCTATAAATTTTGTATTCAATTTGAATTCTACAATGGCACATTATTCCATGAATTGTTTATTACAAAATGTTCTTGAAAGGAAAAGACCTCATATATGTTTTAAGTAAGTTTAACATCAAAAAGGAAGGATTTAGTTCCTCTATTTTTGTTATAATGAAATTTAATGTGGCTTAACAAACAATGGAGAGTATGACATCTAAGTTTGACAAAGGGAATCACTCTATTAAGACTAAGCTAGGGTCAAGCGTTTCATCCCAAAATTAGTGTTAATTTAACTTATGGTTTTCTGTTTGAGCAAAAAAAAACTTATGGTTATTATTCTTGTTTCCTTGTTCAGTAATAGTGGTGTATGTGTGTTCAACAGGTGCTCTGTAAGTCATATCCATCTGAGTTTGTGTCATACTTTCACTACTGCCGATCTTTGCGGTTTGAAGATAAACCAGATTATTCATATTTGAAGAGGCTTTTCCGAGACTTGTTTATAAGAGAAGGTTGGTTATCATCATTATGGCTGCCTTAGCAATGATATATTTATACGTTCTGTTACTTTTACTCTCTTTTCTCTATCTCTTACACACACAATGCAACCTGTCTAGTTTATTACTCCATGGAATGTCAAGTCAATTTCTTTTTTTTTTTTGGTTCTGAAATTGGCATTGCTGCAGGTTATCAGTTTGACTATGTCTTTGACTGGACTGTTTTGAAGTACCCACAGATTGGCGGCAGCTCGAGAGGGCGGGTGAGTACTTATGAACTTCTAGCTCTAGGTTACTGTAATTTTGGAAATGTTACTTATCTTTTCCATCTATTGCTCAGCATACCAGTGGAAGAGCAGGTTTAGCTGCAGGACCAGCTATAGAAAGACCAGAAAGAATCTCAGGTCTGCTTTCTTTTAACTGAACTAGATTTCTACTTAGGGTAGTATAACCATACCCGATTGTTGGAACTTTAATAATTGATCCTTTCAACTATTTGATTTAGACGATGGTAGTTTAGCAACTTTAATTTAGTCCAAAAAATAGGAAAAAACGACGGCCATTTATGTAATGCCAACAATTATATAATTTGGATGAGGACAAATTTTTACTGTCTTTAAAAAAAATTTTATGCCTTTGCAAATTACGATGTTCTACTAACCTCTCTTCTTTCTATATTTGAAATCCCTTAATAATCAGTGGGTAGAGAGATTCGGGATAGATTCTCTGGTGCAGTTGAAGCATTTTCCAAAAGAAATGTTTCAAATACTAGTCCTCGTCGTGATCATTCTAGACACAAGACTGCTGAGGATGTAACTTTGTCAAAGCATGTGGTGAGCGTTAATTTCCAGCCAAAAATATTCTTTTGTCTAGCCTATATTTTGTGTGTGAAAATCTTTCTGAAAATTTGTTGCTTCTATTCTTTAAATATGATATCTTACTAATCATAAAGGCTATTGGCCACCAATTTGCTTTTCAGCTATGTTATGGCAAAGCTGAGACCCACTCTTTCTCCAATTTTATAAATTTGGAGTTAATTATCACATCATATATCTGCTTTGCCATCCCTCTGATTGTTGATTTTAAGTTCATTTTTCATATCCTTCCATTTCTATTTTATTTCATATGACGGCCAAGGTTAAGTTGCAAACCCGGTAGCTTTTGTCTGGATTATGTTCAGGTGATCCTGATGGAGTCATGCCAAATACCTTTCCAATCTTCACTGCAATTTCAGTACTATTTACAATAAAACCAAACGACAACCTCTCATTTGCTTGCAGTTGTCACATCTCTGATCTGACAAGTATTTTTTTTCATCTTTTTGTTTTAAGTCATCCATTTTGGTTAGCATGATACGTAGGATGACCTGTTCTGCCTATTGAACCTTTTCTTTGAGTTGTTTAATTCATCCTTATTCTAACTATTGGTTTTCACCTCATTTCCAACATTCTGATCATTTGTTGGTTTGCAATTCAGCACCCTGATTCAGATAAAAGACGCAGTTCTTCTCGATATGGTAGCACTTCAAGAAGAGCTGTGGCAGCGAGCAGGCCTAGTTCATCGGGTGAACCGAGTGACATTCAACAGAACAGACTAGTATCGAGTGGTGGTCGCATGTCTACCACACAAAGAATCCAACTTGCCTTTGAGGCCAAAACATCTAGTCGTGCTGCCCCTGTTAGAGGAAGCCGTGATGATCATCCTCTTCGAAGTTTTGAGCTGCTCTCGATTAGGAAATAATGGAGTTTGTGGGCTGATGCTTTCAAGAAGTTCCAATGTCACTGTGTATAATGGGGATATCACCAGATTGAATGGCACTACAGCTCATGTGACTTCCCTTACCACATTTGCCAATTCTTTTTTCCAAGATTGTTTTAGCCCCGGTGAGTTTATGGCCAGTGTAACGTGTTTAAGGCTGCATGGAAGAGAACTCATTATTGGGAATCGTATTTGTCAAATGCAACTTGAATAGCTGCAATAAAATACTCTTTTCATCTTTTTTCCCCTTATCCTGAATAACTAAATTTACTAGTTGAACACTTGATAAAGCATTAATATAAACCTTTTGAAGCCGAAGTGTTGGTCAATGATCTCGGTTCCAATGCTGTCAGTTCCGTCATTCGGTCCAAACTATGATGTAAATGAGTTAATTCGACTTATTTACCATGGAGCTGTGCCACTGCGAACTGTTCATTCGAGGCTTTTATAGTAAGGCCTAAAAAGAAAAACCAGACGAGGCCGTGGGCTGTCTAAGCCCAACCAAGCCCAAATGGATTTCACCCTTGGGCCGACTAATTGGCTTAGGCCCAGACACCAACAGTGAAGTATAATTTTTATCTAGCTTATTTTAATTAGTCATTATGCTTTTAATTTAGTTCAATAAAATTTCCTAATTTGTAAAATGAAATGAATAAAAAAAATTAATAAATAATGGATTCCAAACATGGCTATTTAGAAAAAGTTTGTAGGTTTTTAGGTAAGATTAAAATGACATCGTTTTATCCTTTTAGGGGGGAACGCAAAGCAGAAAGAAAAAGGAGAACAGGCCGCAAGTGTCTCTGACCTAAGAAAATTCGTTCCAAAACTTATTATCTTAACCCAATTCACTAAATCAAAGCCCATCTCCGATGCAAAAAGTTTTTTTATATATATTGTGAGTATAATTTTCCACATATTATTATTATTATTATTATTATTATTTCCAATTAAAATTAAGAAAATTATTTACTTTGTTAGATGGATGAATCCATTAATAATTTAGGAATACTTCGTAATAATTCTTTGCAACTCTTCAAATTATGGTTTTTAAAGAAATTTTTTATGATATTTTTTTCAAGAAATAATTTAATGGGATGTATCCAAGTGTCGGGAGCACCGAAAAAGATTATTATTATGATGTGGCATAAATTTAAATAATCATAAATAGTAATGTAAAATAAATAAAATAGAAATGAAAATATATATTATGAAATTAGGTAAAACAAATAGTACAAGAGTAACAAATGTAAAATTAATTAATCAATTAAGTCTTAAAATAACTTTAAATTGCATCTTTACTTTCTAATTGTCTGTATCACACATTTAAATTCTAATCACGCAAGTAAATGGAAGTTCACTAATGATTGAATTTTGAAATGTGATTTATGAGTATCTACTTTAATATATTTGGGTTCAATTTTATTTCAGTGTTATTATTATTATAAAAAGATTAAAAAATGCATAAAAGAATATAACTATTTTGAATAATTAAAATAATGCAAAGACACTCCATCCTCCAGTTACCTTCTTCTGTAGCAAGTCCCGACAAAGCACCCAATATTTTCTATCTCCATTCCTCACTTCCTACAATATTTGCAGAAATGAAAAGCATCCAAATGGGAATCAAAGTTACATCATGGTTGGGGTCATCTTCTGGAAACATGAATGATCACGTTATATCTCTACAGCATAAAATTACAAACTGGTATTGCTCAAAATATTGACCAAGTAAAAAAATTCAGGGTTTCATGGATTTCTAAGAGCTGCCAACCGCTTCTCAAGCTCATCCACACCCGAACTGCAAGGAGGAATCCGAAATTAGCAAACACAGATATTATTCATTATCTTTCAAGAAACAAATCAATGTGGATTATGAGGGATAAATTTAGAATATTTGGGTTGAGTCCAAAAACAAAAACTGAGATTGCAAGGTAACAGCTTGTGTACTATTATAAAAGGCAGAAAACCATAGCCGTGTACAGATCCGATGCCAGGGGCACACCTACCCCAAGGCCATACTAAAATAGATTACTAAAGCACAAAGTTCAAATCTAAGATGAGGTTTGTGCAACACGTGGGTATCATACAACTGTAAAAATCATTCCAATTGAGAATAATCATAGGATAAGAGACAGAAGAATACCTGCCAACACCTTCAGTATTCTTTCCTGCAATCCTACCTTTAGGAGCTGATGACAACTGCAAAAATTTAGATCGAAATCAGACAGTTGCACAATGTTTGATATTGGCTTACAAGAAATCCCAAAATGCAAGGGGGAAAAAACCAAAAACCAAAAACCAACCTGCGAGGCAACATCAATACCAATTTCATCTAGAACCTGAAGAAAGGAAAAATTTTAAAAAAAAGAAGATAGTATTAGTTCTTTGTTTTAGGGGCATAAGAGTCAAAAAATGGAATAATAATTTATTATCCCACCCAAGAAAGCTTGTGCACGCCCATAGAAGCACCCAAAGCCATCCATTCACCAGCATTGTAGTTTACTTCATCAGCCTTTCAACCCACCCCCTTTTTTTTTCTCTCAAAACAAGAAACGGAATGGAATAAGGCATACCTGATTTGTTAGCTCCTCAGTCTCTTCTTCCGCCTCATCATTGTCAAGGGCATCATCTATGGTATCTGACATCATTTCAGTCTGCAAGCATGAATGCTAGCCTTTTAGTTCCATGAGTATACACTAAAGACTCAAAGATGAACTTTTCTCGTTAATATTTTCTCAAAGCCAAGCATGATCTTACCGTCATATCCATCTGTGCCGACTGCCTCTGAAATTCCTGTATAATTTTTGCTTGTTTTGCAGGGGCCATTTGCTGCAAAGAAATCTCAGTCATAAGTTGCTTAAAAATCAAGGATTATTCTAAAAGTAGAACATAATTGTAAGATCTTATGTTCATGCAGATGTGCATAATGCAAACATGTATATATTGATATATGGATGGATGTCTATATAGGAGATAGTTATCAACCAACAATTCACACTATAGGAAGGCTACTCTCCATTCTAAAGCAGGAGAGGTGCAATTTCATAACATAGTTACTAAGGACAGCTAAATATGACTATATCATTATGCATGTTGAATGAAAATTAACATGTATATTATGATATTTTTACTGACCTTATTCATAGATGACATTGCCTTGGTGGCAGATTTCATGCCAACAGCAACGGAAGATTGAGCATGCATTGCCTATAAAAAGAAACAAGCATGACTAAGGGCACAATGTGACAAGGCCACCTGCAACGTCAAAACATAGATGCAATAGCAAAGAGCAAGAGATGAGAAGGGGAGGGGGTGATGTGCACCTGTGTATGAGTTGCAATGCCTCTCATTTGAGCTCGACTACTTTGTAACTTAGCTATCTGCTGCCTAAGCCTCACTAGCTGCCGGGCTAGAGTTTTAGTTGCATTCTATCGATATAGAAAAAAAAAAAAAAAAAAGCAAAAGATAAGAAACATCAAACAGGTTGGAGCCTTCAAGGTAAATGAACTAGACACATTTAAGTCTCGAGGGACACACACGAATACAAAGAAACTAAGATGCAAAAACTACCTCATTCCCGGTTTTAGCAATTCGTTTGATTTCAGCGACAAGTTTCTTTTCCTGCCATTATGAAAATCACATTAGAACCAACACAAGAATTCTCAGAAAGACAACCATCCATTGGTACTTGGAAGTACCTCTAATTGCAGTGTTCCTATTTCCTTCTCTATACCTACACCAAAGGCAAAAATATATTGAGTTCCAGATCAAAGCATTGTTACAACCCCCAAAAAAAAATGCATAATAATGCAAGAAAAATATCTAGACAAGACGACAGCCCATTAAAAAAAATCCTCCTTTAAATCGACTGATACAGAAACATGATCATCAAATTTATGCTTTTGCAAATACACAAAAATGAAAAAAGATTGTCAAGTTGTAGGGAAAATAGTCGAGCATTACCTCTAGTAGCATGCGCCATTTCTCTCTTACTGTCACGAAGAGCCTCTGCAACACCCAAAAAGAACCAAACAAAAAAAAAAGAAGTTAACAAACTAACTAAGAAAGCATGATCGCTAAGCTTGGACAAGTCAACGCCAATTGTAACCGAAGAGGAAAAGGAAAATCGCCAGAAGCATGCAAATATTGAAAATTTGATTGTTGCAAAACGTGAATACAATTCAATCAACACTTCAAACAAACTTGCAGAAAGAAAAAATGGGGATTGTGATTAGGGCACCGCATCCGGAATTGAATTACCTTTTGGATTGGGTTTTTTGCTGAAGATGCTCATTTTTGTTTCCGGTTTGGTGCTTTCAAATGGCCTTTTCAGTCCTCTGAAGAGGAAGGTTTTGGAGATATCCCAGCGGCAATGGTTGGAAAGTTAATAAGTTGGAATAACAAAACACTGTTTGCCTCGAACGTGGTGCGAAGTCACCCGGAAGTTTTGCGACGTTTTCCTTCCTTGTTCATTTTAATACTATTTTATTGTACCATTATAAGTGGGTCAAAATATCTATCAAGTTGTTATATTTATGTATTTAATTTAATTTAATTTAATTTAATTTAATTTAATTTATATACTTAAAATTAAAATAATTTAATTTTTTAATTTTAAAAATAATTTTAATTTAATTTTTTTAATAATATTTAATTTAAACACTCTATCAACATTAATATGATACTTACATGATGACGTGACATATCACGTTACATCGATGTGATGACATGATAGAATCATGTGACATTAATATAATGTTGTAATAATGTTGATGTGGTACTAACATGTTGATGTATCAACATAATAATATATAATAATATAAGAAAAATATTTACACAAGACAACATACCATTAAAAAAATTTCTGCTTTAAATCGACAAATGCAGCAACATGATCATCAAATTTATGCCTTCGCAAATGCACAAAAATGAAAAAAAAAATTCTCAAGTTGTAGAGAAAATAAAAAAGGGAGATACGGAGTTAGTAATAATTATAAACAAATTCTTTACTCTTCGTTCTTCGTTATATATTATTATGTTGACATGTTAGCATGTCAGTGTCATGTTAGTATTATCACGTAACATTGTCACATCATCACATCAGTATCTCGTGACATTTTACGTCATTGAAATATATCATGTCAACGTCCCTTTTAAAAGCAAAATTAAATATCATTAGAGGGATTGACTAAATTAAAGCAATTCTTTAAATTAAGAAATTAAATTACTTTGATTTTAAATATAAAGACTAAATTGAACAAAATACATGAGTACGAAACTTGGTGGGAATTTTGATCACTATAATTTTGAATTATGCT